GGGGGAGAGAACAACAAAACACACACACACACACACACACACACACACACACACACACACACACACACACACCCACCCACCCCCCGAGGAGACTGAGGCACGAGAGTCTCCCCAAAATCAAATCACACTGCAACTCTGTGATAGAACTCAGGCGTTCGGATTCGCTGGTACTGTATTGTTAACAAGCAAGGTTCCCTTGCTGATTTCTCCCTGCCAAAAACTAGAGGCTGATCGGCACAGGCCTTTCGTGCCTGTTCCTGGAGGCCTGCTCTGGGTGGAAGGGACAGATTGTAAGGCAGCTTTTTGCCCAGAAAGTGCTTCATTGCACACTCTGCCCTGGGAGCACCCAGATGGATTTGGTGTGAATCTGTGTTGGGTTGGTTTGGAAAGCAGCACGCATGGGAAGTGGCTACTGTGCTTAAAAGGCAGATACGGTATCGCCCGTGGGCATCGCTTCCCGGCTTCCTGCCCAAAGGAAACGGAAAATAAACTCGAAATTCTGATGCATCAAAAGGTGTTTATGCCTGTTGAAGGCAACGGGACACAGTACACACACTTGGGCACTCTGCTGAATCGGCGCTTTAAGGAGGACACCGAATGCAAAAGAGGCCCTGGAGTGTCTTGGGAAAACATGGACTATTGGGCTGCAGCTTAAAAACCTGGCCCAGGTAAACGACACAGGACTGTTCGAATGTGGAGGAGGAGCTGGAGTCACATCATCTCTTCACTCGAGCACACGGCTCCTGCTTTTTAAAGCTGCTGCTCTTTGGACAGGAGACACGCACGAGCGAGCCCCTCTGCCGAACTGCCACGTGCTTTTCCCGCACCGGTGCATATCTCCGCTCGTATTCTTGCCGTGTGTGACACACAGAAGAGAGTTAACCTAAGGCAACACAGGAACGGCTGTGGCTACCTCCACAGAGGAGGAAAACATTGGTCAAACAGAAAAGAGACTCAAGGGGGAAGGCCAGAGGAGTGTGGCTGAGAGGTTAAAGTGGGGCACTTGAGATCAGAACTTGTGAAAGCCAAGACTAGTGGTTAGAGCAGTAGTAATCAGGACTCCTGGGTCCTATGCCCAGGTCTGCCATGGACTACCTGTGTGACCTTGAGAAAGCGGCTTAACCTTTCAATGCCGTGTAAATGGGGATATGACCATCTTTGTGCACAGGGTGGGCGTCTATGTTTGTTCCGGCTTTGCCATCCTTGGCTGGACGTGGCTAGGGATGTGCACGGTTACCAACCACGGTAGCTGTCCACCACGGGTCTGCCCTCGCAGCATGTTAAGAGCAATTAAGAATAAGCAGGAACAGCCAGATGCATGTATCTGAGTCTGTCCAAAAGAGACTGCCACCTGCACCTCTCCTACCAGAGTCCAGGGTCTCGATCCGGTTCTGCGACAGGTCCAGGAACTGCAGTTGCTTTAGGTCCCGGAGGTTTTCCACTGCATGGATGCGGTTCCCAGCCAGCGAGAGGAACCTGGGGGGGCGCCGGAGAAGGTGGGAGAAGCGGCATCAGTGCATGCGGGGGACTTGTACAACAGGGAACGTAGCCGACCAAAACTGTAGTGTGAGCTTATGCTGATCTCAAAAGTCAGTGGAAAACCCGCTGTTGCCTTCGGGGGGAGTGAAAGGAAGCCAAAGGACTCGTCCAGCTGCGGCTCTAAAGCAGAAGGGTTCGGTTTGGATCTGTGCCGGAAAACTTAAAACCGACGGGCAAAGTCTTGTGTGCCAGAGAACCGTGGCCACATTCTTGGGTTAAGCTTCCATGAAAGTGCTGATGTCGCTATGGACACCCAATCCTCCCTCCCACCCCAGGAAAATCCTGTGTTATCGTCTGGTCGCCACGTCCCCGCTGGGGAAAGTCCCCCCCCCCACCAGAGCCGCTGTGCAACAGCTGCTGTGTACACACACTCTGAACACAGTTCATCACGTCCCAGAGAGCCCCACCTACCGGAGGCTGGGAAGGCAGCTGAGATTCTCAATGGTCTCAATTTGGTTCTGCAAAACAAAATGATTTTTCTCCTCAGTGAAACCTATAGATGGCACGTCACATGATCACAGCATTAACTGGCCCTCCCGGCTCCTCCCTCCCCCTCGGACAGTCAACGGCACGTCACATGATCACAGCATTAACTGGCCCTCCCGGCTCCTCCCTCCCCCTCGGACAGTCAACTGGCCAAGTCGTATTTTACAGAGGAGGGAAACTGAGGCAACGAGAGACTTGTCCCAGGGCGCAAAGCCAATAAGGGGCAAGGCTGAGAGTACGAGGCTGAGAATGCAGAACTCCCCGAGTTCCGGTCCTGTGCTGACTCTTCTGCCGCATGATTCCTCCAGGGAAACCGCCCCCCCATGAATCTCAGAGGTCTAAGGAGCAGTGGTGGGGAGAGAGGTGGCATTCGAGGGAAAGAATAACTTGCCAAAAAGCAGACTCTGGGAGCAGGCTTTCCAGGCCTGACACGTACCTGTGAGGCAGCCAGGTGTTACCCAGGAACCTATCCATAGGGATCACTCAGACCCTGCTCCGGCAACCTTTACACACACGTGCGGCGTTACCCAGGGAGGGAGCTGAGTGTAATAAGACACGTCAGAGTTTCATGTGCGTATCTGCAGGGTCAGTCTAAGGGTCTGCCTGTGCCTTTAAATTGATATGGATGCACAGTTGCAGGCCAGCAGCTGAGTCCTTGCAGTGCTTGGGTACAGACACTGCCTGTGCAGACGGGAGGGGTTCACCCCCTGGTGTAAGTACTCCAACTCCAGGAGAGAGCTACGGCGACAAAAGAATTCTTCCCTTAACCTAGCACCGGCTATCCCAGGGATTAGATCAGCACAGCTCCAGCTCCTGAGGGTGAACTTTTCACGCCCTGGAAAGACGAGGCTACACCAATGGAAGTTTCCAGTGCAGACCGACCTCAGGACGCCAGTCCTATAATCAGACCTGTTCAAATGGGCCCCAAAGTCAATGGGCTTTGCAGTGGGGCTGCATGCAGAGACCCCATTGCGGGAGTGGGGCCTATACATGCACATGATCTTAGCCAGACCTGCCAGATGGCTGGAACCAAAGCAGAACTCTATTTATTAATCCGAAGGGGGCTTTTTTAAAGGTCAGTGTAAAAACCAGATTTTTTAAAAAGCTGAAATGTTCTTATCATCAGTGTCACTTAGGGTATGTCTAGACTACAGGCTTGTGTCGACAGATACTGTCGACAAACCTTCTGTTGACAAAGAGCATCTAGACGACATCCAGTTCTGTCGACAAAGCAAGCCGCTTTGTCAACATGACAGTGTGGACGCAAAGGACAGTGTAGATGCAATAACGCCTTCTGTCGACAGAACTCTGTCAACAAAAGGCATTATTCCTCGTAGAATGAGGCATTATTCCTCGACAGAACTCAGCGGCAGTGTAGACGCAAGTGCCCTTTTGTCGACAAAACCCTGTAGTCTAGACACCCTTAGATGGTTCAGTTTCTGGTTCTTCTGCAGCTCAGATCATCAAAATTAAAAGAATTAAAGATCAGTTTTGCTTTTCCTTGGGTTTAGGCCATTTGTATATTTGTTGTGGTCACGTGTCTTTCAGAGTGGAAGGTCCCTCATCGTGACTTTTGTGTCTTTCTGGAGATAGTCACTGTCTGGCTCCCACGCCCTGGGACAAGGCTGTGATGGTTAGGTGGCTGTCGCTATGTGGCTAAATCCCTGTAATATTATCACTCTCATTTCACTTTGTATTAAGAACTTGTCCTTTTAGATATATCTTTAAATGTTCTTATAGAATCTCTGTAACATTTCTCCTAGAACTTTGTATTAAGAGACACTTTCCTTTTTATATATATACAGGCAGTCCCCGGGTTACGTACAAGATAGGGACTGTAGGTTTGTTCTTAAGTTGAATTTGTATGTAAGTCGGAACTGGTACATATTGTAGGGGAAACTCTAGCTAAACATTTCTCCAGAGCTCAGTTTTATTCTCCCACACCTCACTTCCCTCAGGCCTTTATTCTCAAGCTGAGGTGTCTGCTGAGAAAAGCCGCTCCGCATCTCCCTGGTCTGCTGGGAGGGGCGCTAGCTTTGCGTCTCCCTGGTCTGCTGGGGGGAGGGAGGGGCGCTAGCTTCGCGTCTCCCTGGTCTGCTGGGGGGAAGCAGCTAGTGCGGGGTTGCCTCACCCCGTTTGTAAGTAGGGATCCCATGTAAGTCGGATCCATGTAACCCGGGGACTGCCTGTATAGATCTTGTAAGAAAAAATGGCTTTTGAGCTCTCCCCTTTCCTTGATGGTCCTGTTGAAATGAATGAGCTGTGAATGGAGAATGAAAGGGGAGCACCTCCAGCAGCAGTTGTAAGGGTGGAGAAGGTCTGGGAGCCAGATCCAAGACAATACCTGTAAAGTGAGCTCATTAAGAAGACTGGACATACAGACGCCTTGGGAGTCAAGCAGCAAGTGCCTGCCCTTGGAAGGACTCTCTTTGAAGCATCATTAAGAAAGGCGAGGTGATGACTAATTGGCTGCATGAGAGGGATAAATAGGCATCTTGCAGAGGGACCCCGGGTTTTCATCTTGTCAACATGGGAGTATCTATCCGGATCCGCAGAAGCCGGGCTCCACCCCTCCCCCATCTAACTCACCTGGCCATTGCAGTTAGGGAGAGCAACTTTTGGTAACGAGAGAGAGAGAGAGAGAGAGAGAGTGTGTGTGTGTGTGTGAGAGAGTCATATGCATATGATAAATATGGATTGATCTATGTATGTTCAATAAATGTGGTGTGTTGCCTTATCCCGCTGAAAAAGATCCCGGGTGCTTCTTTTAAGCACAACAGCTAAAGGGAAATGTGTAAATCCAAACACAAAATCGTGGCCAGGTGTCATTCTATGTCATACACTTTTCTAACATAAAATCTAGGCCCAACACCCTTGCCATTGTCTCTGTTTCTCACCCTGGGGGTGTCCCTCCCCAACACCGCATTCTTGAGAAACTGCTTGCCAGAGGAGAGTCTGACCTTATTTCAAAGCCAAACTATGTTCTTGCTTATAATGGACCTAGCACTGAATCCCTGAATGGCTGAGTGTGGGGAGGGGGTGCACGAGTTAGGTTAGGGGGTAATGAGGGGCTCTGGGCAGGGGAGAATGTATGTGTGTGTGTGGGGGGGGGAGCGGAGAGAGCCAAAGCTGCTTGCTCTTCTCCTTCCTGTCCGTCAGGGAGCAAGAGCCAAGTGCAAAGCTCCTCTGCTCCCTGTGCTCTCCAGCCAGCGTAAGGAATGCAGCAAACTGTGCACTTTCCCCTTGCTCCCAGATGAAGGGGAACAGCAAGCAATGTCCCCATAAGAAATGGGAGGGGGGCTTTAGCCCCCCTGCCCTCACTAAAGGGCCGCCTGGGGGGTTGGGAGGCTCAGGGCTGGAGAGCCTTTTCACCTGCCTGGTGATTCTCTTTTCTGTATGGTTTTATGAGACGCAACCCCATTCCAGGCACCTTCCATTTTCCTGGCACAACCAAACCCCTACATTGCTTTAAGTTATGGTAAGAGGAAGCTGCATCCCAAATGTGGTGGTCCTAGCTCTTACCGTTTAGGAGGAGTTCTTGAAGACACACAAATAAACAGACAGAAAAACTTTCTCAACTATGTAGTAGATTTACTGGGGTATGCGAAGAGTTTGGCTGCTGTGAAAAACCACATCTGATCTCCAGAGGGTGCTGTCTCCCAGCCTCAGAGACAGATCAGGTCTGCTAAGTGTTTTACCTGTTGTAGGTAGAGACTGCGGACTTCTCTCAGACCCTGCAGGTTGCTGATAGCACGAATGTTCTCCCTGTCCAAACGGACGGTCAGCAGAGAGGCTAACGCCTTGGATCTATGGAGAAAGGCATTCAGAACAAATGTATGTGGCCAAGTCACTGGAATACAAGAGCAAAGGCAATCCTTCTGAGAGCCCCTTCAGAAAGAAGGATCCGGGACGGCTGGGAGAGCAATTTTCAGACTTGAATAAAGTGACAACCTTACGTTCACTGATCTGCTGGGTGAAGGCAGGAGTAAAGCAACCGGGTGCATTGTGGGTGTCTCTGCAGCGGGAGTTAGCCTAGCTCTGTGGAAGTTCCCCATCCCAAGACCCAAGGCCTGCTGCTTTGGGTGGGGAGAGCTGAGGGTCAGCTCACCTTAGTGTTAGTGACCTGCCAGTACCGTATGTCTCAAGTCACTACATCCATGCCTCAGTGTCTCCCTCTGTAAGATGAGGATGATAATACTAACGTCCTTTGACAAATCCTTTGCTGTCTACTGATAAGCATTTGGTAAGAGCTAGGGATTATCATTACATCTCCCCTGCCGTCTGATAGGATCCAGGGGGCCTCCCACCCACCCCTCCTTTCAAGGGACTCCCCCTCTTTGCTCCCTGACGTCCCATTTCAGCAGCCGTCAGACACTCACATGCTCTCCGTGGTCTCTTTTCCGGCAGGGCAGGGCAGGTTCCTCGGGTCAATGAGAGAATCGGTGATGCTCCCCCCTCCCCTGGGGGGGCTCTGCTGAAGGCCTGGGAGCAAACACAGGGATCCAGAGTCACTTGGCGCCCCTAATCCTGCTCAGCAGGGTCAAGGGAATGTAGCTTTGGATTGCATTGGAAGCAGGGCCTGGCTGAACACAGTGAAAAGCTCTGGCCCTGCAAAACCCGCCCCCACCTGCACCCCTGCATGCACCTCCCCCCACCACCATCTCCACCCCT